TAAAATAAGATAAACTAACCATTTTTTTTCCTTTTTTACACACTAACTGTTTTTTTTACTTCTGTATCCAACTTCAGCTATAAAACCCTTACCCACTAAGACTTAGCTGCTAGTCTCCCCTTTGAGAGACAGCCCCAGGTCTGGTCATAGACTCTTTGGAACGAAAATTCTCTTATACAAGTTTTGTTTAGGAGCCTTAAACTTAACACTCTACATTCCTTACCTTATTAATTAGACCTACTGAACAATGGGACTCAATGTATGTATGAAAGCCAGTTAATCCAAGGATTTGATCAAGACTCTGTGTTGTCACTGGTATACTTATCGCTAAGCGCATAAATATGTGTGCGCAATACAGAACAAATAACGACCCAATCCTACCTTTAAGATTTGTGTTGGCACTGGAAGAAGTGAAATGAAAAAAAGAGAAAAAAGGTACTAGTGACAATAATATTTGAATACTGGCAGTTAAGCTCAAGGTCCACTCGGGGCGATTTGCACATTAGGCGGCCAGTGCCTGTGACCACTTGGACAGTGCTTCCCGATAGACACGAGAGCCCCGTTTCTCTACTACCCTGTACTTCTTTGGCTTAAAGCACAATCCCATAAAGAGGCCACTACAAAACCAAACATTGCCAAGACAGGACACAGGGTGCCGGGAGCCGGCTGCACCTCAGTATCTGACATGGCCAAGCGCACTGCAATTGTGACAAATTCTGAAGCTCTGACTGAGAAACAGATACTGTATAATATCTTAAAAAAGTTAAATTCCGCTTCTGATAGATATATCACAATAATTCTATTTTATACACTAAAGGCAATTGTAGTCACACTACTAGTCTCTTAGTAAAGGTCAAAGTACACACCCTGTAAATCTTAAGATCCTGCTTAGACAACAGTGTTTAGAATAATTGTTGGGTAGTCATGGTAACCATGCTTTAGGTGATTACGTAGAGGCTCAGGCCTTGGTCACTGTCATTGTAGGTGGAGGGATTTGGGCATAGTTGGGATAAGTTAGTCTTTAGCATAGAAAAGGTCTAGCTGTACCCTGGAACATAAGAATTATGAGGAAGTAAAACCCTGATACTAATGGGACAATGTTAAACTGCCCGGTAGAAAAAGGGGCGTGCTGTAAAATAAAGGGAGACACTTCTTGAGAAAGCGCTCCTGTGTCTCCCCGCGTTTTTTCCTTTTTCCTCGACGACTCTGCCTCCACCTGAGGGAACCCCTGGCCCTGCCTCCACCTGAGGGAACCCCTGGCCCTGCGGGAGCTGGTCTCCTGCAACAGGGCACTGTTGCCAATATCTGCATTGACATGGATTGGCTGAGTGGTTCCAATAGCAACAAATCCAATGAGCAGGGACGCGAACAGATCTGATTGAATAAGAAAGCAAGAGCATAGAAGGCAACCGAATAAAGGTGAGCCCTGCACAGGTGCTTCCCAAAATGCATGTGCAGCACGACAAGTCCATACCATCTGGGGGAGAAGAACCCCTAGTTAGGAGGGTGAAGCTGCACATCGGGGACCTGTGAGGGTCCTGGCACTGTGCGTCATGCAGAGCAGAGAGCAGAGAACAGAGAGGAAAGCAAAGGGCTCCTCTCCTCAGGAGGCAAATTCTTTATGGTGAGACACTCACTCAACATAGAAATAGCCAAGTCCAGATCTTGCTAAGTCCTAGGGTATACCAGTTGGTTTAGGCTGGTTTATACCACAGCAGCAGGAAATAGCCCAGGTCTCCGGGGCTTAGAATAAGAAGTCTCACTTCCTACTCCTGTAGGGATGGTAGAGGATTGACCTGTCAACCATTACAGCAAACTAGATTCTGGTGCTTAGAATTTCCATCCCAAATTAAACTCACTCAGATGTCACCAGCCAAAGTGAGTCGTACCCCCACACTCATTCTTAAAGGAGGAAGGCAGGGCATCGCTTCCTGTGTCCAGAATTGGGAAGAGCAAGAGAGGTTTAGTGAGCAGCACCAGGGACCGTCACGTGTGGAGACGCACAAGGTGAGGCTGAACGTCCAGCGGGGGGAGGTGACCTGGCTGGGGCAGTCAAAGAAGACGACAGGATGCAACAGACAAATAGCATCCTGAGTGATTCACTGAGCAACTCATGGTGAGTGTCCTCAGTGAGACAGCAGCAAAGCCCAGAGGTCCTGCTGTTCCGAAGCCAAGGCGAGACGGCATTGAGCCAGAAGGAGTGACAGGAGCCCGGAAACCTACCGGGACGCATGAGAAGTGGAGCTGGCCCCTGGCATTTAGTGACATGAGGGACTACTGAAATGGAGGCTGTGTCGACAGACGGGCCTGTTAAAGAGAAGTGAGAAGGCCAGTGGAGATTATTCCTGTAAAATGTGTTTTTAACGTGGAAGCTGAAGAAAGATAGGGGTCAAAGGTACAATAAAACTTACATATAAATAGGAGAGAGGGAGAAAGAGAGAGAGAGAGATTTCTGTGTAGTTCAAACACTGTGGGGAAAGGTCTAGTAGAGAAGTAGCAGCTGAAGATGCAACAGGGAGAGGTGATTCCTACTGTAACAACCGAAAGAGCAGAGAGCAGTGTGCCCAGAGCCCAGAGCCCAGAGCACGGAACGGGCTGGCGTCGGCAGAGGGCACAGTCTTCCGTTCTGAGAGGAGAAAGGCTGAGAGGTCAGGCTGACCCCCGGCAGACAGACGTGTCGGGGAAAGCTGCCCCTTGGTGTTCTTTCTGTGTGTGGACGTGAGCGCCCTTCAGGGAGGATGTGACACTGCTCCCTGGGAGGGAGCGGGAACGGAACGGGGCCGGCAAGGAATGGAAGACAGTGCGTGCAGAGGAAATCCTGGCGATGTTTCCTGTCAGCCTCCCCACTGGTCCAGCCCTTATTTCCCGCTCTTTTCCCTCCTACCTGGACTCCTATTTTAAGAGATCCAAATTCTGAAAATCTAAATTTAAAATTTATAGTAACAACTTAGGTAACAGTGTCTAGAAGTTCAACACAAAATACTATCCTCTTGCAGCAATTAAATATTAAAACTCTATTTTTGAAAGCAGTCTATGAATTGAAAGAAAATAATCGAGTTAGCCATGTTAAAAGATAAGGTCTTACTTTTGACATTTTTCACTTAATTTGATTTAACAATATTCAAGAAAAGACCAGTTACATTATTTTCTTTTATGAAATGAAAATTTTGAACTTTTTTACATGTTGAAAATGCTATGATCATGGTTAGGTCAAACTTTTCTTAGACATCTCTTGATGGTTTAAAAAAGGATAAAGTTCATTCACTGAATTATTTTTCTGGCATCATTTGAACATGACTTGAAGAGTATGAGCAGCCACTGTCTGAGACTGAGACAAGGCATGACTATGGGAACGACACTGCCAGACCCACTTCCATTATGAATGGACGCCCTACACTGTGGTCCTAAATGGACAAGACCCACAAGTGCCTCAGAGGACACAGTGACAAATGAGGAGCCTAGGTGATGATGAAGCCATGTGGCCTGCAGGGTGCATGATAACGGCCGCCGGGGAGAGTGTGGAGGGTGCCGTCAGAGCAGGAGAGCGTGAGAGAGGAAGTGTGGGGGCCCCGGGGGGGCCATGGGAGCTGATTATGCCTTTCTGTCCACACTTGTGTGGGCAAGGACAGTGACCGCTCCACTACTAATCAGCAAACAGAATTCCACCAAACATCATTCCTGCTATACAGGTTTTTAGCCAATTAGGGAGGCTTACATTTTGATACAATTTAAAGAATACAAACATAAGAAATATGTTTGATTTTTTGATTCCTTACCTTGGTAAGCAAGCTTAAATCCTTGCCGGTTTTGCGAATGGTCGCTGTAAAAGTGGATGAGTGTTTCATGGGTTGTGCTCAGCAGTGCGGAGGGGACGTCACTGCCACTAAACTGCCCGATCATAGGGCTGGTGTGGTACGGTCCGTTTTGGATTTCCAGGTAGTCATGATTAGCTTCAGTAGAGAAATTCAGAAATTGAATATGTGCGCCTATGAAAAAATATGCAAAAGAAATGAAAGTAAATATCAACATTTATAAAATCAATGTTTATCAAAAATGATTATAATTTGATGAGTCTCCCCAAATAATTTTTCTCTAGAAGGCAGAATGGTGTAGTGGAGAAGAACACACATTTTGGGTTACAACACACCTTGGTTCAGTTTCCCCTCTGCCACCTACTAGCTCTGTGGCTTTTATCCACATAATTAATGTCCCCACGGCAACTTACTTGTAAAATGTGACTATTACCAGTATTGTTTTACAGAGACGTACAGGTGTAATTCTTAGAATGGTGACTGGTACTCACACACATGGCCACGATTTTGTCCAGCTGCTGTTATAATTATTACAACCATAAACACAAGGTTGTAATTGTATATCAAACCATCCATAAGTTAATTTACAGATTTACCAAGGGAGCAGCCAATAGAGGTCCAAACCTAAATGTAACAAACTTTAAACGTGGCTGTTAAATGGTCAGACCACTGCCCAGAGATTTGTTAGTTTAGCAGGTGATTCTTTCGATTATATTCTGCATGGAAAGCAAGTCACTGATGTTTGCAAGAAACCCCACGATAACTCTCACAATTCAGTCTAACAGCCCGGCACAGTTCAATGGACCAGACTGTCCAAACAGCCCATGTCAGTGGAGTCACACTGACCTGTACAGATAAGCTACAGCTGATCCTTTAGAAGAAAGACACAGAGTCATGTGGTCATTTGCTGTAGCATTGCTGCATGTTCCAAAATTTATTTAACTACCGTGTCTGAAATATTTTAATTCACTTAAATAGTTTAGATAGAACTCCAAAAGCATTAGTTTTTGCATCAAGCCATGCAATTAATTTGGTTTTGTAAAGCCTAACGTGAGAATTCTAATAGCTGTTATAGATGATTCTCCCAACATACCAGAGAAGCTTTGCTTTGTGTTCTTGATGGATAAGAAGAGCTTTATTTTCACTTTCTATCTTATCTGTTTGATACATATTTCCTAGGTTTCGGAAACTAACGATAATGCTTAATGAGTTATCTTACTTAAGTATAAATGCAGAGAAATGTAAAGCAAACATATCCACTTAGGTATTGATGAAAAATGCAGTTATCAAAAGCTAGAATTTGGCAAAAAAGGAAAAAGAAAACCTCATGTAAAGAGTTGTAGGGAAAACAAAAGCACTAAATGTACTCCATAAAATTTAAAGTCATCCTAAACAACTAATTTCATCAATTATGGAGAAAATTTTGTGAGGAGCAACAAAAGAGTACATAACACCCTTTGTGGGTGGGCACTGTGTAAGGCCAACTGCCAAGTCAGGATCCAACTTACCAACTAACTCTCTCCTCCCAATTCCCCAGCAAGGTCATTATCATCACCATCATCTTACAGGTGGGTAAACCAGTGCTCAGACATGCTAGGTGTTATGTCCCCTGCAGCATGGGAGGAGGCACTGTAGTATTTCCACCAACCTCTGATGGACAAAGCCTTCACTTTTTGTGGCTTAGCATGCAAATGTGCTAGACAAGAGCAGGCAATCTCACGATGAGCACAATACTCCAATTCTTCTTGGAGAAAACTGCTTTCTATTAAGTTTGTTCAACCTGGGTCGGAAGAAGAAGAATGGAAGGAAGTAGAATGTGGGATCCTTGAGCAAGTGGCTAGGGAAGCAGAGAACAGAAGAAAACGCTGGTGCTGAAAGAAAGACCTTTAACAAGTCAACCAACATCTAGACTCATTGTAGAATGAGTAACTTAATCCACATGCATCTCCACACTTGTATACCAGTAGCACAGCAGCAGCCATGGGTGGCGTGTTCCCCCGTGAAGCTGTCTTGGCCATTCCAACATCAGGTACGCTACACAACCAACGTGGGACACGTCTGTAAATATCTAAACGTCAAATATTTATCTCTGTTGAATGACCATCAATGACTTATTGATCTTCCTCTAAATTCCAGTGAATATGTTTGGTCAAAAGAAATATGGAAGCAGGAGGCGGGGGGGAAGGAGGAGGATTGGAGAAACAGAGGGAAGAGAGGAGAAAGGAAGTTGAACTAGCACTCTCTTAGTCCCTCAGTTCTGAACTGTCCCCTTCACACTGAGGTGACAGTTGAGCTGCTCCACCATTTAGAAAGCTACACATCAATATCAATTTATTTCTTCACCAATGGCTGAATTAAAAATAGTTTTATTTTGTAGCATGGCTCACAAATCTGATTTAAAAAGTTTCGTTATTAATAAACTGTACTAACAAATCCTGTGTGAGTGTGTGACTGTGAGTGTGTGTGTGAGTGTGTGTATGAGTGTGAGTGTGTGAGTGTGAGTGTGGTGTGACTATGTCAGAGCACTAAACCCCTGTGGGCTACAGTTTCCTAAATATCTATCACAGTCGTCACCACGAGGTGGAATGCAGAGTGGACATGAGAATAGCCGAAACAACTACTGAATTAGTGACATTTCTATTTATATCCAAAAAGTACCAGATAGAATGTGACACTAGGACAAGGTCAGAATGCTTAAAACACTTCACTTGTGGGGTATAAATCAAATAGCAGGGGAATGGCTTAAAATGTGCTCATTTCGGATGTACATATATATTTATCCAGATTACACTTTGAAATGCAGAGAATGACACATTCAAGAAAGGACTGAAAGACAGAAAGCACATTAAGGGGTAAAATAAATAAATAAATAAATAAATAAAAGAAAGAGAAAGATGGCCAAATCTCAAAAGTAGGGGGCCTTTTACTGATTTGGAATTAAACTTAAAGTAGGAATGGAATGATGACAACTGCAATATTATGAACAAAATTAGCATTTTAAGCAGGATAAAGTATCCAGCCACATATCAAACGTCCCCATACACATCAGGAGGTAAAACAGAGCCCAGCTCTAATCTGCTTAAAGATGGAATTAGTTAGCTATCGAACTTTTCCACAAATTCTGTCCAGTTTGACATCTTCAAGCCAAAATGAGGGGATTAAATTAATGAACATAACCAAGTTATCCTTTTATTATCTCATGGGATCCTGGAGAAAATGTGTTTTTACAACAAGAAAATGGAGCTGAAGACCCATCTTTGGAGGAATTGACACAGTACATTCTCATCCGATTGTCATTATATCGAAAAGTGTCAGTAAAAGGATTTTTGACTTTGGACTTTGACAAAACTTTGAATAGTAATGAGACCGTGACTTCAGAGTTAAGCCCTCGTTTTTTGGGTGACCGAACTTGTGAGTGGCAATTGCTCCATTTTGCATCCTCCATGTGTAAAAATAACATATGGCAAAAGAGATAATAGTTTTAGAATTTGGGGAATATTCTAAAGAATCTTTTATATCCTCTGTATGCTTCTCGCTGGTCCAAAGCCAAGGTCATTTAGGACAGCTGGTGTGCGATATTAGAGCAGTGGTTTGTAAATATAAAAGGTAATCGGTAAAGCAGGAAAACCTTGGTTGTGTGTCTATTAACTTGGCCTTTAGAAATTTCCAAAAAAATAAAGACAGAAATTCTGAGCTAATTGGGCTCATGCCAAAGCAACACACAAAAAACAGCAACTCAACTGTGTGAAAGGAAAGAAAACAGCATAACATCATTAGTGCATGTGGCTCAGCTACATTAACAGTTAATACTGCCTTCTCCATATCAGGCATTTCCGTTCCTTCAGAAGAGCACTGTGAGAATGATACTCTATAGTACTTATTTTAAAGACAAGGAAGTGGGGTTTAAAAACGTTTTAGTAACTTGTGCAAATTCATGCCGGCAGTAACTGAGAGCGCTAGAATTTCGACTCAGTTCAACTCAGAGCTGGGACAGGAGCAGCCACCATGTCCACTGTCCCCCCCACCCCCCATCCCCCCCATAAGCACTTCCAGTCAGTAGTCCTTGGGTCACTTCAAGACACAAGCTGCCTTGTCACTGGAAAGATGTGAGAAATGGTGTCCCCAGAATGAATGATTCCAGAAACAGGCAAAGGTGGTTTCCACATGATGCCAAAGCAGCCAATCCCTTTCGCATATGTAATTAAGTTATTGATTGACCCATGAACATGGGAGGGATGTGGGATCAATCAAAAGAATTATTTGATTAAGCTGGGAGCTGTTCACTATAAAACTGGCTAATCTATCAGGCAGTGTGTGCACATCCAGCCGCATAAAGAGTCAAAACACCCCAGTCCAATCCTCCATGAATGAGAAACATCGGATATATGTTCCTGGAGAAAAGGCCCCAGCGTCTCATATTCTGGATGTGTGTGTTATTCGGGGTAACTAGAGAAACTTATTCATACAATGACCAGTAACATTCGATGGGGTGACCAAAACCCCAAACTGATCATTAAGGAAGCAAGAATGTATGTGTTTGATGAAAGGAAGGAACTCCAAAAACATTGAAATAGAACCTATTTTGAAGAAAACTCTGAAAGAAGAGTAGCAATTTTTCTTGTAATTCACTTTAAAGACGATTCATCATGCTGCTGCATACTAAATAATATTCTCTTCTGCTTCCAACTTGTCCAAGTCCTATGATTGCTGCATTTTTTCAGCTACGCAATTTATATTAAGTAAATAACAACCTGCGCATTCCCCAGGAAGAACCGGTTAATTCCGCCGTGCTGATTAACGTCCATTACCCGTCGCACCTTTTCCCGGAACAGAGGACAAAGTGTCTTGTTACTACCTTCCAACTTGATTACCAACATCATCCTAACAGCCGTTTTCCAGGTAGAACATCGACTGTGACATCAGTAAAAATATGTCTTTCCAATCTCCCTGCTGGTCCCAGTGGGAAACCAGGAGCCTTTTCCTGGGCTGTAATTATGGAAATGTTCCAGAAACACCCTAAGGCTTGGCATTAGGAAACAATATAGAAGATCAAAGAGGCGAGAAAGGATAACTAAAAGATACAGTGGTCACCTTTGCTGTGTTCTCATTGTTTTTGATAAGAAACATCTGGAGGACTTGCCTTAAAAATGCTGATTCCTGGGTTTCAAACTCAAACTTACTTTCTCAAATTCTCCAGGGGCGCTATCTGATGTTTGCCTCTGATTTGGGAGATTCCTGGAAGAACCAGCTTTCGGAAACGCGGGCTCAGGGGATGGGGAGCACCTGGGATTCTGGCGGTGTCATGGGAACAGGCAGGGCCCGCTGCGCTGGACCAGACCGAGCCCAGGAGAAGAAGGTACTGGCTGGGCATCTGAGTCGAGGCTGAGACACCTTCCCCAGCTGCACACGTGTCACATGCGGCTGCAGACGTGTCATGTGCGGCTGCACACATGGCCGGGCACCTTCCCCAGCCGCACACGTGTCACGTGCGGCTGCACACGTGGCCGGGCATTTGAGAGCAGGAAGAGGGCGGTGTTTTGAGCCACATACATGGAAGGGACAGTGGGAGCGACTGGGTGACCAACGTTACAGGGGAGAAGAGACGGGGACCACAGAAGGATGGGAACGGATGAGAGAGAGCTCATTTACTGGAGGGTTTTCATAAACCTGATGTGGTTGAAAACTAGGCAGTAAAGTTTTTCAGAGTCTGCAAAATGCTCTATAATCATCAAGCCCCAGAAAGCATTCCTAGCAGGAACAGAAAAATTCTAAATATTCACACTTGGGGAGAACCTACCACCACTTAGATGTCTCTTCCCTAAATTTATAACTTCACGTTATATCCTTGAGAAGGATATTATAACTTCATGATTAGAAAGCAAACCTCATGCATTAATTAAATTTATTGTGAAGCATAACTATACCTATTCGAAAGAGCTAGGAATAGTCATGCTATTTTCATGTATTTAGAATTTAAGACGTAACGCTTTTTTTCGCCTTTTCTTCCAGATGCTGTTGATTTCTTTTGGAAACCAGGCTATATTTATCTTTTACTTTTTCTATTAAAGTATAATTGACATACAATATTATGGGAGTTTCGGGTGTATGACGCATGATCTGACAGTTATATACCTTTTGCAGTGATCTCCGCCATCTAGGCGCCGTCTGTCACCGCACAAGTTGTTAGGAGACTGTAGACTGCATTCCCAGGGCTGGGCTTGACGTCGCTGGGACTCGTTTATTTACAGCTAGCAGTTTGCCACTCTAGATCCCCTCCCCGTCTCCCCACCACCTCTCTCTGGAACCCAAAACTGTTCTGTGTGTGTCTCAGTCTGGTTCTGTCCTGTGTTCATCTGGGAGACTCACTCACTGCCGTAGCCACAGGGGCCTGGGGTCCCCTGACTCTCTGCTCTCAACCACTACGGCCTTTTCCTAATTAGCATGTGGTCCCCAAGAGCCTGCTGGACTAGGCGGGCTCATGTGTATCTTCCAGTCAGCCCCTAACGCCAGGCCCGGGCGACCGTCCCCATCCATCCACATCTTCAGAGCCAACGTCACCTTTGGGAATAGCTGAGCCCATGCTGGGGAGAGTCACTTCAAGGCCTCTGCTTCATGTGGCAGAATTACTGCCTTAAAAACAAAACCGAACTAAAAAACTGGGAAGAAATAGAGGCTCTGTTTTCCCTTCGTGAATACCCTCCCCTCGCTCACCCAGCATGCCCTGTGGGTGGCGCCTTCTGAAGCCAGCGCACCTGACCCTCACCCGTGGGGCCACCCCTCCATGTGCCCTCTTTCCCTGGTGTAATGTGCCAGGTGTGTCCACAGCAGGTGCGCGTGGGACGTTTTTCCTCTTGGGGGCTATGTGCTGAGCAGGTGGCCCCCCTTTCCTGGCACACTCCTAGTACCGCTGCCATGCTGGGCACAGGTCCTTAAGGCAGACGCTTTGAAAACTTAATAAAAAATAGGACCCCCTCTAGGGCAGCGATGTCCATTTATGCTTATGTTCATTCACCTTTCACAGCATTTTATTAACCAGTAATTATTTAGTCCGCAAGTTGCCAATTGTTATGTCCTGGACACTGGTAATTTGGCACACCTATCACGGTGTGCTGCTATTGTGAAAATCACCAGGGGAAACTAATTAACTAAATCAAGAGCAAGGGAAACCCTGAGGCAGACAGGGCAAGGCCTGCCAGGGAGGCAACGCGTCCCAAAGACGGCGCTTTTCTGAAGGACGCCGGGATGAGATGTTAGCGTACGTAACAGTTCAAATTATGAATTATTCAAAATGAATAACCTGAAAGCTGAAAACTGAATGTTATAAAAAGCCATTCTCATAAAGCTAACTCAGTACAATACATAATTACAAAAATTTATAAAAACACCACCAAAATACGTCACAACCTAAAAAAGCCTTGAAATTGTTCAAAACAAACAGCATGCGCTATTGAGTTCCATGCGGAGAGTCCAGAAGGCAGGTGGTGACGAGACTGGCGGCTGAATGAGGTGCGGAGCGCATGGGCCTCACACGCCATCAGTCGGCTGCGAAGTTAACTTGCCCTGAAAAGACTGGCACGGCTGAACTGTGCGTGCAGATGCCTTTCTGTTCCTGAAGTTACTCTGCCCAGGCTTTACTCAAATCTGTAAGCCACTTTCAATTAAATACACAGTTATGTCAACAGAATGAGCCACGTTTCTTATTCAGCTGGGTTTTTTTCCAAGACAGAAATTAAAAGGTGACTTTTCAGGAAGGCAGAAGTGTTTCCACTTACCATACCCAGTGGGCAAGGTGATGGTCCAGGTGCAGTCCAGGTTGTTGGGGTACGCGCCCGGGAAACCTGGGCTCAGGACCACGCCCGCCATGCCGGTCAGCGTGCCCCCGCAGGTGGCTGTGAAGTGGACAGGCGGCGTTAGCTCAGTGGGTCACCGATTCGAACAAGGCCACCTCATCTCATCCCACTGCTCACTCCTCGGCGCCTCAGGAGAGCAGGTCCCCACCAGCACATCCCTCCCTGGTTCCAGCACGTACACCAAGCACTGCGCTTATTGATGGGACGCTCTCTCCCGAGCGTCAACTGCTGAAAAACTGTGTTTACTTTTGCTGTTCTTTGTTAAATGTAATACAGTCATAGTTGCTGCAACTGGTGTTCTGAAAATTGAATGACAAATTAAGGGCATACTAACTAATCAAATCCAGGCACCTAGTAAGACCTCGATAACTGGTAGCTGCTGTGTATGGGAAAAGCTAGCTCCGTCAACACGCTTTCCAACAAGAGGCAAGCATTTCTTGAATTTACAGCGATAGTTTCATGGAAGGTCCTGAAATGCCTCCTGCACGGTCCCAGAAGGATGAACTGTATTCAACGTCCAGTCCAGTCGGAGTGGTTAGCACAATGCGTGCATTGGGACTGCTGAGGCAGGAGGGCGTCTACTGAGGGGTTATTTAGTATTCATATCAGTCTTTCTCCCTTTACTTGTAATGTTCTTTTCTTTCTTTTTTTAAATTGAGATACAACTGACATATAACATTGCAACAGTGTCAACATAATGATTCGCTATTGGCAGGTATTGCTCAACGGTCACCACAGTAAGTCCTGTTAACATCACCATACACAGGTGCAGGGTTTTCTTTCTTGTGATGAGAACTATAAAACATGCACTACAATGCTGCTAGTTGTCGTCACCATGGTCCATTCCACCCCACGACTCTTTTATTTTGTGACTGGAGGTTTGTACCTTTGACCCCTTCACCCATCTCGGCCCCTGCACGTCTGGCACAGGGACCCCAGTACGGCTCCTTGATTCAGTGCCTTTTATTCCGGCATAAACTGACTTTCAGGGCCAGAGCTGCTGTTCCCTGAGGGGCGGGGAGAGTTACTACCTCTGGCTGCTAACTGTGTGCCAGCTACTGGGCTGGGGAAACGCACTGCATCACTGTTGTCACAAAAACCCTAAAAGGCTGGGGTTTTTTACAGACAAGGAACCCAAGCCTGAGGGGGTTAAGAGATTTACTTAAAGTGACGCACCTGGTAAGCTGCCCACCAGAGCATTATTCCAGCTCTGGAGCTCCAGAACCCAAGTTTTAACCAGGATGTGTAACCTTCAGAATTCTTTCTAATTTTAGAATGTTGCAAACTGTAGCCACTTTCTCCCCAGAAGTCCCTACATCTGACCTTATCTCAGTTATTTAAACTTTCTGCTATGGAAGCTGAGTTTTGACTACAAAGAAACATGCACCAAGCTTGCCAAGCAGTTAGGTTGAAGCAGATATTAGGCCGCTGAGACCTATTAAAATGGCAATTTCTTAACTAAAAGGCTTTATTCCTAGTCTAACCACACTCTTGGTAAGCAAAATAATTTTAGATGCCCTCTCATTGATCTCTCAGAATCTGCAGTGTTTGTTTCTTTGTTTGTGTTTTCTTGCTGCTTTTTATCAAGGCAAAAAAGCTTTATATGTGGAGGGTAAATGCGGTATGAGAAAAAATCCAATTGTCTTATAAACTCAAGTCTAGTGAATACAGTAATTGGTTAATTTAGGGGATCGCAGTCTGGGTTTCAACATGGTGTTTAAGTTAAGAATGTAAGTTTTTAAAAATCAAGAACTATATTTCTATGAGGAATGACTCGGTCCAGCCAAGGTCTGGACACCATCTTATTACTGGGAGTCAGAGCTAATCTCTCAGGTGACCTCCCTGTGGAAGATACCATGTGTCTGGACAGTGTGCCCGCCTTTTCCGAGGGTTTTGCATCTGTGAATTCGACCAACCACAGATCCAAAGTTTTCAGGAAGTTGCACAAAGCAAAGCTTGAATGTCAGGCCGGCCCCGGGCCCATGAGGACGAGGTGTGCCCGTGAGGGCACACCTGCCGCAGCCGCTGTGCACGGCTGGGCTGGTGCAAACACTGCCCCATCGTATCAGGAGCTCAGGCATCCTCAGGTTTCGGTACCTGTGGGGCTCCTGGGACCAGTGCCGCGTGCTAAGCAAGGATGGCCATGTGGGCTCCGGGTAGCATCTTATCCCGGAGTCTACCGGTTTTGTTGAAGGCATGCTGGTGGGTCTGAGAGGCAAACCTGAGTGTATTTCGCAGTAACCTCTGTTCCCTTAGGGTTCCTACAACCTGCGATGACAATAAACATGTACGTCCAACTACAGCGCAGACAGTGGGACAATGCCATATCAGTGACAGAAACAGGAAGTAAATGTGAAACGAAGGTGATTTTTTAAAAGGCCCTCTTATTCTGAGTATAATATTTATCAAGAAAAGACAAAAAGGCTGGGAATTATAAAATATAAACTCCCATGTACAAATTCAATTTAGGACGGAGGCAGTGTCCAGTGAGCAGCTGACCCAGGGCCTGCGTGACAGAAGCCATCACAGGTAGTCACGTCTCTGTTTAATACAGGCCACCATCGGTGTCACCGGAGGCGGGTGTGCAGGCCCAGGTGCTGGGCGTACTTCCTGTCAAACACGGAGTGACAACCTCACTCCCTGGGCACTGAGGGACCAGGCGGTCCTCCTTTCCTTCATTTAAAAAACAAGAATCACTGGATGGGCATACAAACAGCGCTCCCGGAAAACGTGCATCCATCTTTTTTCCTTCGTGGCATTTTAAAAACTCCATCAGTGGACTTGTTTTACTTAATATTTGCTCAGTGTCACCCTCGGGGCTCTGCCTTCTTCCCAGGGCGGGCCTGCCCACCGCCATGGGGTAAACTGACTTCCTGCTTCCAGCTGGAGGAACGAAACACCCTCGTGCGAGGCCCTTTCCTACAGTTAAATAGCATATTGAGAGAGTTATTGGTAAACACGCTCTCTCGAAAAGACGGGTGTTATTTTTATAACACATCTGGGGATCTTACATGTTCCTGGACTTATGTATCTTCTTTTGTGCCAAGTCCTAGTTTTTTGCTCTGAATACATTGGAGTTTGTCTCCAGGGCACCGGAGGGGCCCCTGCTGGACAGACCCAGGGGTGCAGAGAACGCCCCTGGCCCGGGCCCCAAAAGCTCCGTCACTCAGGGGCTGGCTGTGATGCCGAAAATCGCTCATGTGTGTGAAACTCTGACAAGGACGCTTGACTCCCAGTATCCTTTCGGGGAGCGTTTTGATGCAAGCTGTTTTCATAAGTACTATTATTTTTTAAAAGTTAGGACTTGAGGTTTTCAAGAGCTAAGAAGCAAAATATTATCTCTCTATGGATTTCTAGTCCTAAAATCTCTCAGGTCAGATTAATCTCAAGCAACCAGTTGAAAAACAACAAAAATTCTTTCCATTTCTCCAATCAGTCGCCAGTCCTGGGGGTTTACTGGAGACCATTTGTGAGTTTCCGATGAGAAAACCTGTCCCTAAACCTTGTGCAGAATTGGACGCAAGCAGGTGTGAGGGCAGCTGATGCCGCGTCGACACTTGCTCATGTACGAGGCATGTTGAACAAAAGGAAAGTCTTTATATTTGGCTAACACAAGCTAACTACCCCAACAGGACTTTCCCTCACAGGATTTAAAGTGCTAGCAATGACATGTCATCTGATTGAATACCTGTTGTGAGTTGATTTCATTTTCAAGTTTAAAATATTAAATTCCCAAGTTTAAGGGAAAGTTCTTTCTTTCGAAATAAACAAGAAGGGTGATGTTCTGTGGAAGGAAAGGCACGGAGGGAAGAGGCAGGCCCTCAGCGTCCGTACCCTTCTGTCCTTCCTGCCGTCTAAATTAAATCTCCATGCAAACAACTTCAACATTTTAGGTGATGTGGTCATCTGGACTTTATTTTACCAGGAAATTACTTTCATGAGGAAAAACAAATACTGGCCACTGGGCAACACTGCTTCCTGGACACAGACATGGCACCGTGGCCATGAAGACAGGTTCTGGGTCCTGGACGACCAGTCTGGGCTGTGTCAAAGCTTTGGCTCAGTTTTATTCCCTCTGTACACACCTCCACCTGCTTCCGGGTCACGGTACTTAAGTATCACTGACAAGTGTTTACTGCCCAGCATTTGTGTGGCTCTGGGAACATGTAACAGAGAGGAGTCACCTGGCCTTACCTGTGGGAACCCCAACAACACAGTATGCTGTCACCTCCCTCTGCAGAGTGGGTCACACAGTGTGTGCGTAGCTCAGGGGACACATTTAAGGCTGGATGGTGGCCTTTACACTGTCTGCATTTGCTCATGTGGAGGTGACCTCTCTCCTGGAACACCACCTGCGTGTTCCATGCCTGAGGGTGTGAGGGTGGCATTCTGGAGACCGGGGGGCTCTGCGGGGACCCGCAGCAGTGTCCAGAGCCTGGAAGCCGGAGGGGACGTGAAGAAGTGATGAGGTGATGGTGACGGTTACTATGATCCATGCTGCTGGGGGTCAGGGCATTTACTGGTCATTTGTGAGTCAAGTCACTGACAGCCTACTATGTGCTAACAAGAGAGCTGTGAGTGACAGCCTACTGTGTGCTGACAGAACGGTGAGAGACGGGGGGCTCTGTCTTTAGTGTCCTTGGGATTGTACATACAACATCACATGGCAGTCCACAGGAGGGCGGGGCGCCACCCGCGTGGTAGAAACGACTTCCAGCTACTACGCTTGTGCCCCCTGGTGAGGGGCCCAGGCCAGGCCTGGACTGAGGGGAAGGCAGGAGGCACTTTCCTCAAGGGCGAATTTTAAGGGGGTGCCTGCACCTCATGGATATGTTGGCGCAATATTTGGGAAAATCAAAATACCAAATATTTGATGAACAAACCACCAATGTTTTAAATAAAGACAGGGTCAGTATCACCGATTTTTTTTCTCTTGC